ATTATTTCTTTAGAATGATCTTTATTATCCTATTGGAATGATTTTTTTTATCGTTCCTTTAAAACGATGTAGTATCATTCTATTAGAATGATTTTTTTATCGTTTCGATAGAATGACCTTTTATCGTTCTATTGGAATGATTTTTTTATCATTCTATTAAAATGATTTTTTTATCATTCTGATAGAATGACATTTTATCATTCTTAAGGAATGATTTTTTTATCATTCTGATAGAACGATGATTTTTCATTCTATTAGAACGATTTTTTTGTATTGTTCCTTTAGAATGATTTTTATCATTCTATTGGAATAATTTTTTGTATCGTTCATTTAGAACATTGTAGTATCATTCTATTGGAATGATTTTTTTATCGTTTCTTTAGAATGACCTTTTGATATTCTTAAGGTACGATTTTTTTCATCATTCCGATAGAATAATGTAGTATTATTCTTAAGAAATGATTTTTTTGTATTGTTCCTTTAGAACGATCTTTATCATCCTATTTGAATGGTTTTTTGTATCATTTATTTAGAATGTTGTACTATCATTCTATTTATGTTAAATTTGTTATACAATTTTTATTTAAGAGGTTAGTGAATTAAGTACATATTAAATTAAAATTAGATTGAATATAGCTTTTATTACTACTTCAAAATAATTTTGATTTTATTATTATATTTTTTTTTTACACGTAAAAATAATAATTATAAAAAAGATTAAAAAAATTTTTCTAGTTTAAAGAAAAAAATGATTCTGAAACTTTTAATCTTGGTTCTCTAAGTTACCTTTACAGTTGATTAATATTGATTAAGAGCAATTTATAGCATCAAAGCAAAATTATTTTCGTATCTTCTCAAATGCAATTCTAGTAACGTTTATTATGAAAAAATAGCAGATTTATATTAAGAAATTTAAAGAAAAGTTCGATAATTAAAAATATCATAATTGAAAAAACCTTATGAAAATGTTTTAACAGGAAGGACTGAAAATCTTAAAAATGCATCCTAAATGCCTGATGATGATTCCTCAGATCTCTTACGTAAAAGTGTTCGATGATGATATATCTGATTCATCCAAGAAACTACTGATTATTCGTCGGATGGAATTGGTATTCGCAAATTTTCTGACAATTATTTTTTCCTCTATTTTCAATGCAGAATTGAAGTATTACTAGTTTGCGGTAATATTTATGTAATAAAAACTCTTTTAAAAGAGAAAGTTGGAAGATGTATCGAATATGATGCAATAAAAGTCGAAATTGAATCCACTTTTTAAATCTTAACAAACTGAATCGACAATTTATGACTAAAATAGAAATTAATGAATGTCTAGTAAAAAGTATTAATTATGAAGAAATCATAAGAGTGAACGAATCACTTAAAGGAATACTTGTGAAAATATTTCTAGTTGAGTTAGGAGACTATTCAATCATAATAGACTTTATGAATAGTATAGAGCCAAAAAATCTCAATAAAGTTGAGGAGTCACGAGTTGCATGAGATATTGTATTATCATTGTAATAACAGTAAACTTCATATCATCTATTATGAAAAAGGTGTTTGTATGGAAAATGGGGAATGACTTCTCAACTAATAACTTTAAACTTATTTTTAGTATAGATATAACGGTCATTAAACACATATTTTTTAGATGATAAAATTATAAAAATTGGTTCTCATTTTGGCTAATTAAAATTTTAAGATTGTCAGTTGCACTTTTTTTTTTATTAGTTAATTTTTTTAAATATATACTAATCATATGATTCTGTTAAATGTAATGTAATACAATAACACAGTTTTTACCTATTTTAGTTAAATTATCAATTATTTATTATAAAATAAAACAACATAATAATTATCATATTATTTCATGATTTCTCATACATTTTTTCAATATAAAACAAATATGCCTACTGCTAAAGCTAGAATTTTACATGGTCATATAATTTTATTTCCATGGAAATAATAAATGTTGAAGAAAATCTAACTATCCAAGGATTATTTGATCATATAATTGATCAATATGTTTCACAGTTAAAGGACAAAATATTAAAAAGTATAGAAGTACATTGTTCAATATCAAAAGAACAAACTGAAGATGAAATTGAACTGGAGTGCTTAGTTAGTGATATAATTAACACGTTTGGTAATCTTTTTACCTTTCGTGTAAAATTTTATTCAGATAAAAATAACTAACAATCAGTCAACTCATTTGATATTTTAAGAAATGCTTCTAAAGAACACTATTTACCAGATTTTGATTTCTCAAATAACCCAAAAGCAAACGATCAATTAAAACTAGACATTCTTACCTATATATTATCTCATATTAGTGGATGGACTTATGATACTACATCTATAGGAAAAAAATTTATTAGAGAATTATCAGATGCTTTGTGGTATGTTGATAAATGTGGACCTAAAACATTCAATGATCGATATACAATACCAATAGAATTCTCCTAGTTTGTTAATTGGTTTGATCCAAAAAAAAGGCTGTCTTACATTCACCTATTATGAGTTGAATTTTCATAGCAATAATCTAATGGCTTATCTTAGGATGTCTTAGATTGAAAATCCATACTTTGCTTTTTTAAGGACACCTTTAATCAAGTTTGCTAATGATTTACAAAAATATGCAGAATACTTATTAAAAAAATGGTACAAACAAAAAATAATTATAATTTTACTGTACCTATAGTAAATAAAGATGATGCGTGTAAACTGAAAATAATCTTATCTGTTATATTCAAAATCCAAGTGTTGTAATCAAATATAAGAATCTAATTAAAGCTATTGAATTGGCTGAATACTGGAAAACAATAAATATTGATCAATTTTGTCCTAATAATAGCACGTAAGTGAAATGATAAAAAATTTTCTATGAAATAATAGAAAGTAATAAATTATTAATATATTAAATTTTTTTAGAACTAAAAACACATTTACAAAAATTGGAAGAAGTTTTTTCATTCAAAGTAGGCATGTATACTTATTATTATGGAAATGTTGTAAATACAACTTTTATTTGGAAAATGGATCCAAGTGTTAATGAATCTATATCTTTTGAAAAAAATTATGAAATCTGAAATAAATTAAAAAATTCTATGCCTGTATATGCAATACGAGCAATGAGAAGAGAATTTGTAAATACTTGTGATATGTTTTTTAGTAATGTTAAAAAGTCTAGAGCTTGTCGAATATACAAGGACTTCATAGGAGATTCAACTATAGATGAGTCAGAAATAGATGTCAGAGTGAAATTAGCTTATGATTTAAAGGATCCAGACCTTATTACTGATTTTCGGCATTTTAATAAAGGAAAAACATTTATCTATAATACCTTTTAGGAATATGCCAAGAAATTCTTAGAAGGTACCGTTCGGGATTCAATTGTTGCAATTGATGAAAGTCGTTATGATCCGATTGTTTATTTGGCTCGTGCTATATCTGTAAAAGATTTAAGAAATCAAATAACAAAAATGTGTCCAGATGTTACTTCAATTTTATTAGTTAATTGGATAAGATTGCAATTTTGGCCAAAAAATCGCTGGAATATATCAAGTTTGCAATATACTGGAATCTTACCATTAAAATTTATGATTCAAATTTGACAATTGCATATGAATCATATTGATAATCATTATGCATTAGCAATTTTCGGTATCTTAAAAAATTAGCCATAAAATTTAAAAAAATACTTGGCTTGTCTTTTTAGATGATAAGTATTGATGTAAAATTAGGGAACCAGGACATCCGGTAACTGCAATAGAATGTGAAAAACAAGTAGTTGTTAGTATAAATGAAATATTTGCAGTTGCAGATTATGACTTTACTAAATGTAGCTTAATTACAAGTATAACAATGATCTGCAACATACCTGATAATATAGAAGGATCATTCTATAATGAATAAGTAAATATGGGTTTAAAAGATGCAGCCTTTCAAAGATAAAGTGCATTATGTTATATGACAGTATTATATGATATATTAATACATACTGTTACATTTAATAATTATATGTATTACTTGTATCGAAAGACATATTGATTTTATTAAATAAACATTTTTTATTAGTTTTTTTTTATTTTATTAGTTTATTAGCATTTATTATTATTTTACATTTTATTTTATTTTTAGCATTTAT